GCCCGAACCCAAGAAACAAGTGCAATCCGGGGTGATCGGCAGGCGTGATAGGGCATCGGCGTTGGTGTGGCGAATCCCCTTCCGGTAAGTTGTCTCAAAATCGAAATCCTGCATGATCTCGAGCCATCGGGACAACTGCCCCGATGGCTGGTTAATTCGTAGGGCATACTGCAACGCTGCATGATCTGTACGGACGGTGAAATGCCGGCCGTACAGATATGGCCGGTACTGTTGGATAAAGAACACGATAGCCAACAGTTCGCGGCGGGTGACGCAGTACCGCTGCTCGGCCGGGGACAGTACTCTACTACCATAAGCCACAACGCGCTCCACGCCACCCACAATTTGTGACAGCACGCCTCCAATCCCGGTATTGCTTGCGTCCGTGTCGAGCACGAACGGCATGGAAAAATCGGGGTAGCTTAACGGCGGGGCCCCCACCAGGGCATCCCGAAGAGAGACAAAAGCGGCGTTCTCCACCGGCCCCCAATGAAATTTGACCCTTTTTGACGTCAAGGCATGTAGTGGCTTAGCGATGGAAGCAAAGTCCGCAACAAACCGGCGGTAATATGAAGCAAAGCCGATGAAGCTTCTAACCTCCCCCACTGAGGTGGGAATAGGCCAGGAGCTGACACAACGCGTTTTGGCGGGATCGGTTGAGATACCTGACCGGCCGACGATGTGACCCAAATATTTAACAGATTCGCGCAGCAAATGGCACTTTTGTGGCTTGAATTTCAAATTAGCAGCGCGCATTTTGAGAAAGACGGCCCGAAGCCTATCAAGGTGTTCCTCGAACGTCTTACTGAATACGATAACGTCATCCAGGTAAATCAAACACACCTCCCATTGCAAGCCAGCGAGGACCAATTCCATCAGGCGCTGGAACGTCGCGGGAGCAGAGTGTAATCCCATGGGTAAGCGATTGAATTGGAAGAGGCCGTGCGGCGTTCGGAAAGCTGTTTTGGGCCTAGATTCGTCGTCCAAGGGAAGTTGCCAAAATCCTGAGAGCAAATCCAAAGTGGAAAAGAATCGCGATCCCGCGAGGGCATCCAGCGATTCGTCCATTCGAGGAAGCGGATAAGCATCGGCCACCGAGATCTTATTTAATCGCCGGAAATCAACGCAGAACCTTAGGGACCCGTCGTGCTTTTTGACCAACACTATGGGTGCACCCCAAGGGCTGGTCGAGGGAGAAATGATGTCCGATTTCAACATGTCATCTACAGCCGATTTGACATGATCCTTTTCGGCGGGACTTAACCGAAAAGGATTTTGGCGGATAGGAGCGTTGTCACCGGTGTCAATATGGTGGCGTAGCAATTTGGTACATCCGATATCGTATTTGTGTTTACTGAAGACGTCGGAAAATTCTCGCAATAAGGCGCGTAATCTAGCACGTTGTGCGTCAGACAGGTCAGGTGACTCAGCACACAACGCATCCAGCCAAACCTCGTCAGCGTCTGAGGCTAATCGCGTTTGAGAATCGGTGGCCACCTGGCCAATGATCGGCGTTTCCGCAGGTACCGGAACCGCATGTGCGAATACGGTACCTTGCGAAACCACTGCCGTCCGTGTCCCGACATTGAGGACCGCGATAAATGGGTCCCCATCCCCTTTAACAATAGTCTAGGCCGTCACCAGATCTGGCCCACTCACCCCGGCTCTAGATGGTCCCAAAATAACGCCCCGGTCAGAGACTCCTTTATCGAACGGTCGACGCAAGCGCAGGGGTACCAACATCTGTGCCCCCGGGGGTACACGCACCGTCCGAGCAACAAGCGCCTGTACCGTAGCACAGGCAACACGCAAGGCAGGGGTGGCAGGTAGGAACGTCATACGTCGGCCCGATGGAAGCTCGATGCATTGCTGGTCAATCAGAATTTTGATGGGCAATTTGGCCAAAAAGTCTGTCCCCAACAGGCACGGAATAGCCAGCGAGGAGGAGACGAACACCGGGCCAGATAGTTTAATGTCCCCTATCGAAATTTGCGCTCGAATTTGACCGATAATACCCAACGAGCCCCCATTCGCAGCGTAAAACGGTATATCGACAGGGAGCAACGGGCGACTCTGAACGGGCAGGATATTATAAATCAAATCTGAAATGATAGTTGCCGAAGCTCCCGTATCGACCAATAGCCGTACCTCCACCCCGTCAATATGCCCCGCGACAACGGACGACCCCGCTGATGCAGCCACAACTCGGTGAGCCAACTCGGACCATTGGCCCGGTTGGAGCGCCCTCCCCGACATGCCGCGACCCGACGCACCAGCACCCAACCCCCGAGAATTGTGTATCGGACCATGTGATAGGAAAGTGGGTGTGTGTGCAGGCCGAACATGTGGGGTGCCATGACTTGCCCGAGGATGTTGCGAAGGCTTGTGAGGAGGGCCGTCCGCAGCTCCAGGTCTCGCACCGCGCTGTCGAGGAGCCCGGCATCCGGACGCCACGTGGCCCCGGAGGCCACAATTATAGCAGACGACGAGCGTTCCAGAGGACTTGGGCTGGTCTCGGTGGCTTGGAACGTCCCGAGCCGGTCGCTCGGCAGATCGCCATCCTGCAGAACGATCCGCAGCGAAGGCTCCCTCCATTCCAGAAGAGGTTGCCGCCACGGTGTGTCGTGCAGCAGCTTTGTTCGCCTTCCTCCGCTGGGAGATGAGATTGGCGTGAATGTGCCTTGCAGCCCGCAGTGATGACATATCCGCATCGTCCTGCGCTAAGATGGTGAAGTCCAGATCGTCAGCCAGCAGCAAAATTTTCTCGGCCACCATCGCATCGATCCCCTCTTCATCCATACGCGGGAAAGCGTCTTTCGCCAATGACAGCAGGGCCGTGCGATAAGCGAGTGGCGATTTCTTATCACCCTTCTGCCGTTCATAGAAGAGCTGGCGACAATCGGAGGGCGGCCCATAAACGGTGGCCAGCAGCTGCAGCGCCGACTGAATGGTGGAGCGTGCCGACTTGGGTGCAGCAGTGAGGGTGCCCAGGGCGTCGCCGTCCAATAACGCCGGGAGAGCACACAGCGCCTCGTTGTCCGACCAGCCTGCCATCTCTTGGTGGGCCAAGAACCGGCGCTGGAACCCCCCCCAATCGCCGTCGCTTGCAACAAATACCTGCAGGGCCGGCAGGCGTTGCTGGAATGTCGGCTCCGTCTCCGATCCTCTTGCAGCGTCTCTTGCAGCATCCGTAGCGCGTCCCCGTACTGTATGGTCGGTGCTGGCGTCAGCTGGTGGTGACGTTTCAACCCCTGATAGGCCGCCACCGCGACCCGCCTCCGCCGATGACGTGGCGGCTGCTGGCTGGGCACCGTCTCCCGCGTGACGAGCTGGGACTCCTCCCTCCGCCCCTACTGTCTTCGTGGCGGGATTTTCGAGTCGCCCCGCTGTTGTAAAGGCGGGAGTTTCTGGCGGGCGTTGTCCATCTTCCCGCCGCGTCGCTCCTCCCGGCCCCAGGCGAGTTATTTGTTCCAGCATAGCGGCCGCTGCATACAAGAGCTCCGCCAGCCGCGAGTGAGCCAACGCCAACTCGTCAGTCGACGTCCCGGCCCTCTCCGACGACCCCGCCGATGTCGGAGCCGGCAGCAGTTGTGCAGGTACGTCGGCGGCGATGTCTTGCACTGCCCCTCCCTCGTCGTCATCCTCTCCTGGGTCTTGGGCACGAGTCTTCCGTCTCGTATCCATGCTTGGACCACTTCCAACACCAGATGTAGTAAGTTGATGAGGAGACGATGAGGAAGTTGAGACACACTGTTTATTAACTCCGGGACAGATACAATAGTTGAAGGGGTATCGGCCCCTTCACCCGTACTATGGGAAACCCACCCTAGTACTAAGCCCTCTGTCCTGTCCCCCAGTCCTCCTCCACTGGGCTACGGGAGGCTGACTGATCTGGCCCTGGCAAGCACAGATCTCGGCACCAGCTAACCAGCCTTGCCCTGATAAGGGCAGCGGTCTGGAAGCTCTTGGGCCGCGCCACTGGCTTACCCGGCTCGGCCCTTATAAGGACGGCGAGACCGGGGAGTCCCAGGGCCTAATCTCCGAGTCTTGGATCTTCACTGGTCAGCTTCGTGTCGAACTGCCTCGAGCTCTTTGGGTTCCACCTTTTATAGGGATCGCCTCCGAGGGCTGGGGGCGTGGGCAATAACTGATGCGGACGTCGGTGTGACCCCCCGTGTATGTGAGTGCCGACAGCCCTGTGTTTGTTGTCCGCCGTTTCTCCCGTAATAACCCCTACACCTGCATCCCTCCACGGATGTTCATCTTCAGTGGGGGTGTAAGCAACCACCACCACCCCATATGAACGTATATGTGTGTGTTGAACTCCTAGTGTAGTGTATATAGTGTAGTGGAAAATAGTGTATAGTAGTGTGGTGTATAGTAGTGTAGTGTATAGTAGTGTAGTGTATAGTGTAGTGTATAGCAGTGAAGTGTATAGCAGTGTAGTGTATAGTGGTGTAGTGTATAGTGGTGTAGTGTATAGTGTAGTGTATAGTAATGTAGTGTATAGTAGTGTAGTGTATAGTAATGTAGTGTATAGTAGTGTAGTGTATAGTAGTGTAGTGTATAGTGTAGTGTATAGCAGTGAAGTGTATAGCAGTGTAGTGTATAGTGGTGTAGTGTATAGTGTAGTGTATAGTAGTGTAGTGTATAGTAGTGTAGTGTATAGTGTAGTGTATAGTAGTGTAGTGTATAGTGTAGTGTATAGTAGTGTATAGTGTAGTGTATAGTAGTGTATAGTGTAGTGTATAGTATAGTGTAGTGTATAGTGTATAGTAGTGTAGTGTATAGTGTATAGATGCATTCACAACCCCCCCCCCCACGTACCACCCCCAAGTCACCCCCCCCCCCCCCCACCTACCTGCCCCCCCCACCCCCCACGTCACCCCCTCCCCCACGTCACCCCCACCCCCCACGTCACCCCCCCCCCACATCACCCCCCCCACGTACCCCCCCCCACGTCACCCCCCCCCCCCCCACGTCACCCCCCCCCCACCCACCTGCCGAAGGCGGCCACCTTCTGCAGCACGGTGGCGATGAGCGCCAGCGTCCGCTCCGTCCGCTCCCCGGGCGGCTCCAGCGCCAGCCCCGAGAGTGCCGGCGAGGCGACGGCCGGGCACAGGAAGTGGCGGAAGAGCGCCGCCGCCACGAGCCGCTCGGCCAGCGGCACGCTGGACCCCTCGGAGGGGCGGTGGGCGTCGCAACGCAGGCGCCAGGCGGAGAAGAGTTCCTTGAGCTCGCGCGGGAACTCGCTGGGGGCGCGGGGAGATAGACACAGAGATGTGCACAGAGATATACACATACACACGCGGAAATACACACAGAGATGTGCACAGAGATGTGTACAGAGATATACACAGAGATTCACACAGAGATGTGCACAGAGATACACACGGAGATATACAGAGATAGACACACAGAGACACACACGGAGACACACACACAGAGACACACACAGAGACACACACACAGAGACACACACACACAGAGACACACACACAGAGACACACACACAGAGACACACACACAGAGACACACAGACACATACACACAGATAGATACACACAGAGACACACACAGAGACACACAGACACACACACAGATAGATACACACAGAGACACACACAGATAGATACACAGAGATACACACAGACACACACACAGAGACACACACACACACAGACACACACAGAGACACCCACGGAGATACACACAGAGAGACACACAGCGACTCACACAGAGACACACACAGAGACACACACAGAGACACACACACAGAGACACACACAGTGACTCACACAGTGACTCACACAGAGACACACACACAGAGACTCACACAGAGACACACACACAGAGACACACACAGAGACACACACACAGATACACACACAGAGACTCACTCAGAGACACACACACAGACACACACAGGGACACACACACAGAGACTCACACAGAGGTGCGGTGTGGTGCAGGGCGGTGTGACGTGGTGTGACGAGGTACGGTGTGACGCTCACCAACACGAGTTGACGATCTTGCAGAAGGCCAGCTCGCAGCACATGGTGAGGTTGCTGCGATTGTCACGGAGCTCGGAGCCGGAGCAGCGGGCCGGGTCCACCTCACAGGCCTCCTCCGACTCGTAGAGCGCTCGCACAAATTCGCCTGCACCGCACAACGTAACACACACACCGTAACACACCGTGACACACCGTAACACACCACACCCCACACACACCACACACCACACCGTAACAAACCATAACACACGCACCACACACACCGTAACACACCATAACACACCGCACCACACACCACACCACACACACACGCACCACACACACACCACACACCTCACACACCGCACCACACCGCACCACACGCACCACACACACACACACCAAGCTCCCCACGACTGACCCCCCCTCACTCCACCTTCACGTACTCCTTGACCCCAACTTGACCTCCCTGTGACCTCTTCACGGCCCCCTTAACCCCCCTTGACCTCCCCCACGACCCCCACGATCTCTCCACGACCCCACCGTGACCTGCATACAACCCCGTTGACATCTCCTTCGACCTCTACATGACCTTCCCTTGACCCCCCTGGACCTCCGCCACGACCCCCACGATCTCACCACGACCCCACCGTGACCTCCCTACGACCCCCTTGACCCCCGTGACCTCTGCCATGACCCCAGCGATCTCCCGATGACCCCACCATGACCTCCTTACGACCCCCTTGAACCCCCCTTGACACCACTTGACCTCTCCTTGATCTCCCTTGACCTCCTTCACGACCCCAATAATCGGCCCACGACCCCACCGTGACCTCCCTACGACCCCCTTGAACCCCCTTGACCCCACTTGACCTCCCGTTGACCTCCCCTTGACCTCCCTTGACCTCCCGTTGACCTCCCCGCGCCCTACCGAGTGCGTGCTGCAGGAAGTTCTGCCCCACCAGCTTCAGGAACTCCTCCGTGGCTCTCGCCGCCAGCGAGTTCTCGCGCAGCGGCGGCGGCTCAAACTCCTCGTCCACCGACACCGACACCGACGCCGCCGGGGTCACCGCCGGGGTCACCGACACCGCCGCCGCCACCGGAGACTCGCCGGCGCGGCAGCCGCGGCGATCCACCTCACTCATCACCAGCTCGGTGAGGAAGTCCTGCGGAACGTCGCCAACAGCGTCATCACCACCACTACTACCGTCATCACCGTCATCACCACCACCACCGTTACCACAACAACAACCGCCATTCGCCAATAAGTGGCGGTGACGTCACCACGACGCTTGTGCCAGGCTATGTGCACCTTGAGGCCACGTAAAGTGTCGAACGCCCGCTGGCAGGAGGTCATGGGGCAGACCCAGGTGCCACGGGTCGACTGACCGAGATTACCGAGACGACTGGCTGATGCACCACCTCTGCCTCCTACTGTACTAACTTGCTGTGCTTTAGCCACCCGGCGCTCCACTCGTTGTTGTGAGCGTCGCTCCTCTGCCCGCCGTTGGTGTTGGAGGGCGACTGCCTCCAACTGCCCAGTAGCGTCCTTCACGAGCCTCCTCCACAGAGGCCGATCTTGACACCGCTGGTACCAGTCATCGGCAAGTCCACTCAGCTCCACGTCCTCCTGTACCACATCACTCCATCTCTTCTCTAGCCCGTGCCGCGCCCGTTTAGCCCCCTCGATCCGGCCGAACAAAAGCTGTTTAGGTATGCGGTGGCTGGGCATGCGGGCTACATGACCCAGTCAACGCAGCCTTGCCTGCCGGAGGAGCTCACTGATGGGACTTTGCCCAGATCTTTCAAGGATTTGTGAGCTCCTCACACAATCCAGCCTGGTTAAACCCAGGATGGATCGTAGGCAGGCCAGCCTAAATGTTTCCAACCGATGAAGATGCTCCATTAGGGGGGTCCACGTTTCGCAAGCGTATAGAAGGGAGGGAATGACCGTTGCCGAGAAAACCTGAAGCTTCGTGCGGAGCGACAGACCAGGTAGCATCCACACAGCGTTACGCAACCGATGAAAAGATATTGCCACTTGACTGATTCGGAATGAGACCTCTGCTGTTAAACTGGAGCCGGTCATAATCACACTGCCCAGGTATGGGAAACTCTCCACTCTCTCCACTACTGCCCCATCACCGATTGGGAGTTGTGGGGGTGGAGTGTCCGATGGTACAAAATACCCAGGCAGGTGCTTAGTTTTGGTGGGGCTGATGGTAAGGCATCTCCAACTCTTAGTGGCACGCTCCAGGATCAGCAGCAGCGTCTCCAACACCTCCTCTGAATGAGCAGCTGTTACCAAATCATCGGCATACATAACGTGGTTGACCAATAGGGAGCCATCCGTTGATCGCACCCGGGCATCGATCAGCCTCCCATTATATCTGTACCAAATGTAAATTCCCCCGGTACAGCTATTGAAGGCTTCACGAACTACGCGGTCAAAATAGATGTTAAATAATTTGGGAGCCAGAGGACATCCCTGTCGCACCCCAAGGTGTACAGGGAAAGGCTCTGACTCCCGGCCACGTAGTTTTACCCGGGCCCGCTCACCATCATGAAGGTCCTTAATGATCGTAAGCAGAGGGTCAGGGACTCCGAAAGCACGAAGAACAACCCAGAGCCCAGGCCTACTGATGGTATCATAGACCTTGACCAGGTCAATAAAGCAGAGCTGTAGGTCTTGTTGGAATTCCCTACACCTCTGCTGTAGAAGACGGACAGAAAATATGGCATCTGTACAGGACCGTCCTTTCCTGAAACCGCATTGGGGCTCCGCAAGCCTCTCCTCAGCGTGCCTAGCAAGGCGATGTTGAATAATCTTTGCCAGGACCTTGAGTGAGATGCCCCTGTAGTTGTTACAGTCTGTGCGGTCCCCCTTCTTAAAGAGGGGGACCACCAGGGCATCCTTTCAATCCTGCGGAACCCATCCAGTGGTCCAGACTGTTGTTATGATGTCATATAGGGCAGTCTGTGCACTAACACCACCCTCCCTCAGCATTTCGCTTGGGAGATCATCTCTGCCCGGTGCCTTTCCTGGTCTCAGACTCCGGATCGCCTTAAGTACTTCCTCAACAGATGGCACCTCAGCCAGCCACTCACAGGGGGTGACCTCTTCCAATATTTGAGGCACGGCAGCCTCAGCAGGGTTATCCCCACTTTGTGCCATGATGTTTTCCTATCTGAAAGATTTCCCCTCCCCCAGGACCTCACAAAAATGCTCAGCAAATCTGCAAACCTGTTCCTGGGGGTCGGAGATTGGATCACTGTTTTTTCCCCTAACGATGGTAATAGGTGTGGCGCTGCAGGTTACTTTTTTGATGGGGTTAAATAGGGATTTGTGATCGCGGGCCACTGAGGCAGACTCCATCTCCTCAGCAACCCGCGACCACCACCCATCCTTGCAGCGCCTTACAGCTCTCCGAACCTCTGAGTGAAGGCTGCGGTAAACCTCCTCATTCTCTGACGTGGGATGCTGTAGACGATGAGAGTGGGCCTGTCGCTTTTTCTCAGCCAGCCTGAACACCTTCTCTGTCAGCCAGGGTTTCTGGGGAGGTCTGGACCGCGTACCCAAAGCAGCCATTGCAGCTGCATGAGTCACAGTCCTAAACCTCACCCATTTACCCTCGACATCAGGTGGAGTGGGGGACGATGCCAACCCCAGCTGCAAGCGATGATGAAATTCTCGCTTGCAACTTTCATCATCTAACTGAGACCAGGCCACTCTTGGTAGGAATGGGGTCCTGGGTGTACACCCACCACCGGAGTGGAAGAATGGCAGGCGCATCTTACAGATGACTAGTCTATGGTCAGAGGGCAGATCAGCTCAACGGTAAGTCCTGGTGTCAAGGACATGGGCTCGCATCCGCTGGTCCGTCACTATGTAGTCCAGCAGATGTTCTTGCTTGGACCCGGCATGCATCCATGATGTTGTGTGGATGTGCCGATGCCGGAATAGCGTGTTGGTAATTACAAGCCCATGGGCTGCACAAAAATCTTGCAGCCTCCTACCGTTGTTATTGAGCTGATCTGGCCCATGCCTTCCAATCACTCCAGACCACGTGCCAGCATCATGACCAACTCGGGCATTGAAGTCACCCAACAAGATGACTCTGTCCCGAGTGGCCACTTTAGCCAGCACCTGTAACAGGAGGTCATAGAAGGCATCTGACTCATCGGCTTTGCCTGCATCCCTCCACAGATGTTCGTCTTCGGTGGGGGCATAAGTAACCACGACCACCACTCCTCGCCTCCGGTTGATGGGAAGGCGAGCCCAAAGTAGCCTGGGGCTTACAGCTTCCCACACCTCACCGCCACGCTTCCACGCCCCCTTCATTCTTTTGTTCAGAAGAAGAGCCACACCCTGTTGTTTGGCATTCTCCTGTCCCGAATGGAGGACTGTCCACCCCTCATGTTGGCAGGAGCCAGAGCCGGTCCACCGGACCTCCTGAATGCCACAGAGATCCATGCGGTACCGGTCCAGCTCCTGACAAAGGAGTGGCAGCCTCTCCTCCGCAGTGAGCGTTCAAACATTCCACACCCACCCCCACACACCCACACCCCCACACCCCCACACACCCACCCACACACCCACACACACACAACCCACCCACACCCCCACACCCCCACACACCGACCCACACCCCCCCCACCCACACAACCCACCCACACACTTACCCACCCACACACCCACCCCCCACCCACCCCTACCCACACACACCCACACACCCCCCCACACACACCCCCCCCACCCACCCTGGCCTTCCCCGTGCTGTGCAGCACGTGCACCAGCGCCCTGGCCACCTCTCCTCGCGCTCGCGCCCCGAGACGCGGCTCCAGGGCCCGGCAGAGCGCCGCCGCCCCCCCCCCGGCCCCCCCCCCACCGGTGCCGCCGCCGCCGCCACCGCCCGTCAGGAACTCGGCGAAGGGCTTGTAGCGCTCCAGCGGCAGCAGGACGGCGCTCTCCACGCGCCAGCGCAGACGCAGCGCCGGCACCGCCGCCCGGCCCCGTCCGGGCGTCGGGGCGCTCACGGGGTACCACTTCTCCACCAGTTGCCTAGCGACGCCGCCGGCGTTCACCGCGATGTTCACCAGCCCCACGTAGTCGGCGGGGGCGGCGGCGTCACCGGCACCGGCGGCGTCACCGCCGCCCCCCCCCACCCCAAACTTGTCCTTCTTTTTCTTCTTCTTCTTGGCGGCGCCGGGGCCGGGGACGGCGTCACGGTAAACGTGCACCGTGAGGTCGCGCGGCGCCGCCGCCAGCGCCGGCAGCAGGAAGTGCTCCCCCCAGCGGGGACCCTCGGCGGCACCGGCGGCACCGGCGGGGCGGCTGGCGGTGCGGGCGCACAGACGGTCGTCCACGCAGACCTCGCAGAAGTAGCGACGGGGCCCACGGCCACCGCCACCACCACCAGCAGCAGCAGCAGCAGGGGCCAAGTCCCTCGCCTCCAGCAGCCAGAGGCGCAGGGAGGTCTCCACGCGGCGGCAGTTGTCCTGGACGTGGTGGTGGTGGCGGTGGTGGTAGTGGCAGTGGGTGGTGGTGGTGGGGAGTGGTGAACGGTGGTGGTGAGTGGTGGTGGTGGTGGTAACGGTGGTGTTAATGAGTTCGAAATTATGGTGATGATGATGGCAGTAGTGGTGACAGTAGTGATGGTGGTAACAACGGAGGTGATGGTGGTGGTGATGGAGGCAGTGGTGGTGACGGTCGTGGTGGTGGTGACGATGGAGATGATGGTGGTGGTGACGATGGAGATGGTAGTGATGGTGGTAACAACAGAGGTGGTGGTGGTGTTGGTGATGGAGGTGGTGGTGGTGGTGGTGGTGATGAAAGTTGCACAAATTAGACATCGCCACTTGTACACGCCGGCTGTCTTCACCAATATCCAGAATCTGACGATCACCATGGGAGAGATCGTGCGGTGGGTACGATGTGCCAACACCGCTGTGGGTGAGTCTGTTGGTGAGTGGGTGAGTGAGTGGCTGGGTGAGTGTGTGGGTGAGTGAGTATGTGGGTGAGTGAGTGAGTGGGTGAGTGAGTGGGTGGGTGAGTGGGTGGGTGAGTGAGTGGGTGAGTGAGTATGTGGGTGAGCGAGCGAGCGGGCGAGTGAGTGGGTGAGCGAGTGGGATAGCGAATGGGTGAGCGAGTGAGTGGGTGAGTGGGTGAGCGAGCGGGTGAGCGAGTGAATGGGTGAGTGAGTAACTGAGTGGGTGGGTGAGTGGGTGAGTGGGTGAGTGTGTGAGTGGGTGAGCGAGCGGGTGAGTGAGCGAGTGAGTGGGTGAGTGGGTGAGCGAGCGGGTGAGCGAGTGAGTGGTGAGTAACTGAGTGGGTGGGTGAGTGGGTGAGTGAGTGGGTGAGTGGGTGAGCGAGCGGGTGAGTGAGTGAGTGTGTGAGTGAGTGAGTGTGTGAGTGGGTGAGCGAGCGGGTGAGTGAGTGAGTGTGTGAGTGGGTGAGCGAGCGGGTGAGTGAGTGAGTGTGTGAGTGAGCGGGTGAGCGAGCGGGTGAGTTTATGGGTGAGCGAGCGGGTGAGTGAATGGGTGAGTGGGTGAGTGGGTGAGTGAGTGAGTGGGTGAGCGAGTGGGATAGCGAATGGGTGAGTGAGTGAGTGGGTGAGTGGGTGAGCGAGTGGGTGAGCGAGTGAGTGGGTGAGTGAGTAACTGAGTGGGTGGGTGAGTGGGTGAGTGAGTGGGTGAGTGAGCGGGTGAGTGAGCGGGTGAGCGAGCGGGTGAGTGAGCGAGTGGTGACGACGTACCTTGTTTGGCTGGACGGCTCGTCGCAAGTTCTCCATCCAGCGGTCTCGTTCAGTCGCAGAGCGGCAGCAGAACACCTTGCTGCTGGTGCCAGCCGTGATCACCTGGAGCACACGCGCAGTTCACTATCACTAGCACTAACTAGCACTAACTAGCACTAACACTAGCACTAACTAGCACTAACTAGCATTAACTAGCACCAACACCATCACTAACCAGAACACCTTGCTGCTGGTGCCAGCCGTGATCACCTGGAGCACACGCGCAGTTCACTATCACTAGCACTAACTAGCACTAACTAGCACTAACACTAGCACTAACTAGCACTAACTAGCATTAACTAGCACCAACACCATCACTAACCAGAACACCTTGCTGCTGGTGCCAGCCGTGATCACCTGGAGCACACGCGCAGTTCACTATCACTAGCACTAACTAGCACTAACTAGCACTAACACTAGCACTAACTAGCACTAACTAGCATTAACTAGCACCAACACCATCACTAACCAGAACACCTTGCTGCTGGTGCCAGCCGTGATCACCTGCAGCACACGCAGCAGTTCACTATCACTAGCACTAACACTAGCACTAACTAGCACCATCACTAACTAGCACTATCACTAACCAGAATAATTTGCTGATGGCATGCGTGTGTGTGTGTCTGTGTGTGTGTGTCTGTGTGTCTGTGTGTCGGTGTGTGTGTGCGAGTATGTGTGTGCGTGTGAGTGTGTGTCTGCGTGTGAGTGTGTGTGTGTGTCCGCGTGTGAGTGTGTGTGTGTCTGCGTGTGAGTGTGTGTGTGTCTGCGTGTGAGTGTGTGTGTGCGTGTGTGTGAGTGTGTGAATGAGTGTGTGTGTGTGTATGCGTGTGTGTGTGTGAATGAGTGTGTGTGTGTGTGAATGAGTGTGTGCGTGTGTGTGTGTGAATGAGTGTGTGTGCGTGTGAGTGTGTGAATGAGTGTGTGTGCGTGTGAGTGTGTGCGTGTGAGTGTGTGAATGAGTGTGTGCGCGTGTGTGTGCGTGTGCGTGTGTGTGAATGTGTGTGTGTGTGAATGAGTGTGTGCGTGTGCGTGCGAATGTGTGTGAATGTGTGTGTGATGCTGTGTGTGCGTGGAACCTCAAAGCAGTGATCCTGCCCCAGGATGCTGCTGTGGAGTGGCTTGATGAGCGCTGGCTCCCCACCGCCCCCATCACCACCACCACCACCATCACCACCATCACCTGCTGCTGCTGCTGGTGCAGCCGTCAGGCTGAGGGTCTCCACGCGGCTGGGACTCAGCAGAGACTCGTGCGAGTGAGACTCGGTGAGTCGCGACATCGCCAGCGGCCTGCCCCGCACACAACGCACGCAGGGCACAAAGATCCCCCGCGTAGCCTTCAACACGATGCAGGGGCAAGGGCTGTTAGCGAGTGGCACTAACACACACACACAGTACACACACACGGTACACACACACGGTACACACACACACACAATACACACACACAGTACACAGTACACACACACAGTACACGGTACACACACGGTACACACACAGTACACACACAATACACACACACACAGTACACACACACAACACACACACACAGTACACGGTACACACGACGCACCTTTCACTGTCGAAGGCACCACCACCGCCACTACCTCCACCACCACCACCGCCACCACCACCACCACCGCCACCACCTCCCGTCAGCAGCCCGCGTAAACCCAGGCTGCTTCGCTCCAACTTGCTGTGACTCTTCGTGCGCTTCAAGCGCTTGCTCAGGAAGCCCTGCAGACAACAACAACAACCACAACAACCACAACAACAACATCAACATCTTCATCATCAACAACCACAACAACAACGACATTAACCATGATAACAACATCAACAACAACATCAACATTTTCATCATCAACAACATTAACCACAACAACGACATTAACCATGATAAGATCATCAACAACAACATCAACAACAACATCAACATTATCAACCACAACAACAACGACATTAACCATGATAACATCATCAACAACAACATCAACAACATCATCATCATCATCAACCACAACAACAACAACATCAACAACAACATCAACATTATCAACCACAACAACAACGACATTAACCATGATAACATCATCAACAACAACATCAACAACATCATCAACCACAACAACAACAACATCAACAACCACAACAACATCAACCACGATAACAGCATCAACAACAACATCAACATCAACAATAACATCAACATCATCAACCACAACAACAACAACAACAACATCAACAACCACAACAACATCAACCACGATAACATCATCAACAACAACATCAACAACAACCACAACCACAACAACAACGACATCAACCACGATAACTTCATCAACAACAACATCAACAACAGTATGCAGGGGCTGGTAACCCCTCCACCTTTCAATAAATTACCACAAAACCACGTGGAAAATATCTAATTAATAAGCTTGTGCCGGAGGCCCCGGGGGGACAGGCGTCATTGACATCTCCTGGCCAAAACCCATTTGGCGGAGCCAGGAGATTGAATCTTCACCCTCGGGGCTCCGTCAGAAACAACGAAAAGCCACTGAGGGTGGCCACGTGGAATGTTCGAACGCTCACTGCGGAGGAGAGGCTGCCACTCCTTTGTCGGGAGCTGGAACGGTACCGACTGTGGCATTCAGGAGGTCCGGTGGACCGGCTCTGGCTCCTGCCACCATGAGGGGTGGACAGTCCTCTACTCGGGGCAGGAGACTGCCAAACAACAGGGTGTGGCTCTTCTTCTGAATAAAAGAATGAAGGGGGCGTGGGAGCATGGCGGTGAGGTGTGAGAAGCTGTAAGCCCCAGGCTACTTTGGGCTCGCCTTCCCATCAACCGGAGGTGAGGAGTGGTGGTCGTGGTTACTTACGCCCCCACCGAAGATGAATATATGTGGAGGGATGCAGGCAAGGCCGATGAGTCAGATGCCTTCTATGACCTCCTGTCACAGGTGCTAGCTAAAGTGGCCACTCGGGATAGAGTCATCCTGTTGGGTGACTTCAATGCCCGAGTTGGTTATGATGCTGGCACCTGGTCTGGAGTGATTGGAGGGCATGGGCCAGATTCAGCTCAATAACAACGGCAGGAGGCTGCTAGATTTTTGTGCAGCCCAAGGGCTTGTAATTACCAACACGCTGTTCCGGCATTGGCGCATGCACGCCAGGTCCAAGCAAGAACATCTTCTGGACTACATAGTGACGGAACAGCGGATGCGGGCCCATGTCCTTGACACCAGGACCTACCGTGGAGCTGATCTGCCCTCTGACTATCGACTTGTCATCTGTAAGATGCACCTGCCATTCTTCCAATCTGGTGGTGGGTGTACACCCAGGACCCCATTCAAACCTAAGGTGGTCTGGTCTCAGCTAACTGATGAAAGTTGCAAGCGAGAATTTCATCATTCCTTGCGGTTGGGGTTGGCATCGTCCCCCACTCCTCTAGATGTCGAGGGTAAATGGGCGAGGTTTACGACTGTGACTCATGCAGCTGCAATGGCTGCTTTGGGTACACGGTCCAGACCTCCCCGGAGACCCTGGCTGACAGAGGAGGTGTTTAGGATGGTCGAGAAAAAGCGACAGGCCCACTCTCATCGTCTACCGCAGCCTTAGCTTGAAGGTTCGGAGAGCCGTGAGGCGCTGCAATGCAAGAATGGGTGGTGGTCACAGGTTGCTGAGGAGAGTCTGCCTCAATGGCCCACGATAACAAACCCTTATTTAACTCCATAAAACAAGTTACTTGCAGCGCCACACCTATTACCATCATTAGGGGAAAGAACGGTGATCTAATTGTAATGCGAGCATAAACGGGGTGGTTGTTGGCGTCCGCGCCAATCATGCGGGCCGGAGCATTGGGGGGCGGAGCCGGGTCGACGGAGCGTGTGGGAGGAGCCACTGCTCATCTCGGCTCCAATGGGAGGCGGGGGCAGTACGGGAAGGAGGAGTCAGGGTCACGTGATGGGAAGGATATAGGGAGAGAGCCGGAAGAGATCGGGGGTTGGAACGGAGTGAGAAGAGGGGGGAGCCACGTTTGGCGGAACGGGAGCAGCGGCGCCATCTGCCACGTGGTGTGCGGCGACGGGGCTAGAGGGGTGTGAGCACTAGCCGAGTGTGCGGGGCACACGTAGCTAGGAAGTGACTAACGGTGTGTGCGGGGCACACGGAGGGAGCGGAGCGGCCACCAGCAGAGTGCGGCCCACACGGAGCGTGCGCGGAGGGGTGCAGTACGAAGAACCTAATAAACGACACAACGGAGACCAAGAAAGCCTGACAGAGTCGTTTATTACACTGGGGTCAGAAGCGGAACGTGATGTCTAAACACCTCAAGAAAAAGAATATACCGACACCATCTTCAGAAGACGAAGAGGATCTTCCTCCGGCGGTAGCAGTCCCGACCATGGAGGGCGTGGGCGAAGTGGCGGCGAGCGACACGACAGGAGTACAGGATGTCGTCGGGGTGGCCGGGCCGCCTGCGTCGACGGGCGTCGAGGACGGCTGGCGACACGTCGCAGTCCAGCTGGATTTGTTGCAGGCCGTTTTGCTGCAATTACTCACCCTGGTGATCGCTTAAGCGGGGAGCCTTCGAGTGGGGCCGAGCCATCCGCCATTGCGGCCTGTGCAACGCTTCCCGCCCTCTCCGACACGCGACACGACGCCGCCATCTTGGGCGTGGTCGGGGACGAACGGCGGGAAGCCGCCATTTTGTCGCCTTCACCGCAGGAAGCCGCCATCTTGCCCCTGCCACATGGAGACGCCATCTTGTCGCCACTGCGTGGAACACCTGCAGCGGGAGACGGCGACTCGGGGACCCGCAGCCATCGTCTGACGACGGTTAAGGAATTCTCAATCGGCGGGGATTGGAGTGCATTCGCCTGCCGTTTTGAGGCGGCGGTCCGATCCGCCAAGTGGACGGATGCGGAAGCCCTGGAGGTCCTGCCGATGCTCCTGGATGACGAGTCTGTCAGATTCTTCCGTTCCATCAAGGCCGCGAGGAAGACGACGCTGAAAGGAGTGTTCGAGGAAATGGCGGAGGCTTATGAGCCCCCGGACGACGCACATCGCAGATTCGTGCAGCGGCAACGGGCACCAGAAGAATCGCCGGTGGCTTTCCGGCGCGCTATCTTGGAGCTGGCTATGGCCGCATATCCGGACACGGAGCCCGACTTGCTGGAGCCTTTAATATTGGGCAAGATGTTGGAACTGTCCAGGGATTTGGGCATCCCCATGCCGGTGTGCGGCCATGAGCAGCTGACCTCCCGGATAGCGGCTAAGTGCCTGGACGCGCAATTCAACCTACGCCGGTGGAAGCAGGTGACGGCCTGGACGGGGAGCCCCAAAGTCGAAGGTGGTGCCACCGGGTGGGATCCGTCCAAAGCCATCTACGTATGGGACGAGAAGGGGCCTGAGGAGCTGGCGGTAGCATCAACCCAGTGGCCTGTTCGAGGGGGAGCGAAGTTGCGCTCGGGTCCACCGTTGCGGGATCGGCAAGACAGAGGGGGTGCCGGACGACGAGCAAACTCGTCATGCTTCCGCTGCGGCCGTCGGGGGCACTTCGCCAGGGAGTGTTGGGGTCGCTCTCAGCCGCCGCTCCAGCCGGAGGCCCCTGCCGGGAACGTGACGCGGGAAAATCCACCACGACAGGCAAGTCGGTACGCATCAGACACCCGGCAAGGCCTGTCATCTCATGCATCACCGTCACTACGCGGCCCGGGAGACATTCCTAACGGGGGGGCGCTAAGAGATCCGCGTCGTTTGCTCACGCAGTGGCGGAAATTGGCACGGAGGGTGGTTGCGGCCGCTACTGGGTCGTCGACTGTGCCGGGCTCGATCCAAGGGGTCGACGTGCACATTTTGGTTGACTCGGGTGCGTCCGCGACCATTATCTCCGATGTGATATTCCATCTCCTGTCCATTCAACCGGGGCGGGTACGACCAGTTTACGACTCATGCATAGCGGTGAACGGAGGGAGTATGGGCATCGTGGGTCAGGTGGACGCGAGTAAATCGGTTGGGGGTGTTTCGGCTTCAGGGACAGTGTTGATCTCCAGGTCCCTCGCGGTGCCATGCCTATAGGGGATCGATTTTCTGGCAAAGATGCCCATTCAGATAAGAGTGGATCAGAATTGTATCGAATTGCCGGGGGGCCAGAAATTTTCCTTCTTGCTATCACCGTGGGGCCGGTCCGCTCCTGACTGCCAGGTGCAGGCGCTGTCCGAGGTTTCGGTTAACGTTCCACCTGGCTCGCAGATGCTTATTCCGTTGCGGTATCGGAAGCCAGTGCCGGGAATCGAGGGCGCGGCGGGCGTGTTGTTGTCGCCGTCCAAAGCGATTACGGGTGGCTTGACGCTGGTCGCAGCACAGACGATTGTTCGGCCGGGTCAGCCTCCGTTTTTGCAAGTTTTGAATGGGAGCGGGGAAAATGTCATCGTGCCGGCCTGAACGGTTTTGGCACATGCCACGACTGCTTTCACGGTCCATGACGATCGGTGCCACCGGGGCCTCATAGGGGGGGTCTCTGCCTTGACGGCACAGGATAATCGATGGATTACCGAGTTGTGCCAGGAAAATGCGTCTTTGACTGCGGACCAACGGTCCGCGCTTCGCGCGATGTTGGGGAAGTATTCGGATGTTTTTAGTTCGAACGATTTCGAACTGGGACGTACCTCGTTGCTCTCCCATCATATTGATACGGGGGATGCCGCTCCGATTCGGATGAACCCACACCGG